TGACTAGAACCTGGAGCTGCGTAATTTAGAGCAGGAGGAGCATTGGCTTGGGGCACAAAAAGTGGATAAAGGAGATGGGTGAGGGTGTAAGGTCTGGATTTGTTAGTTTGCATATAACAAGCACGGTTGCCTTGCATTCTCTAAGGATTAGCCAGCCCTGAAAAGGGCTGTGATAAGTGAATTCCAAATAGCCAAAGAAATCAAGAAAACACAATTAACAAGAAGGCTGCTTAGGAGCCTCATGGTGATCCAAGTAGGAGGTGACACTGCTTTTGACTAGGAGGCTGCAGCAATGTGTGCACACCAGAGACAGAAGGTGAAGGCTACACCAACATCTGATGATGATTCAAGGATAGAGTTAGAAGAAAGGCAGAACTCAGGGACTCTAGTTTCTGACTTTATTTGTATGCACAACATTGGGCAGTATAGACAGGATTGGTGAGGAAGTAATGAAAAGCCTAGCACTGGGAATGTTAAACTTTGTTATGGGGGTGAGATATTCGTATAGAGGCAAATTAGAATGTGAAGGTTTGCAACTCAAAGGATGACTCTTTTTGTTGGTGAAAATAATGGAAATATGTAGGATAGAGATATTATGGAGGTCGTGAGACTAGATGAATGGTCTAGAGAGGAAGCGTGGCCATAGTTTGAATGATTTGGGGGAAGATCGTGCATTCACCAGTATTCTCCACCTGACCTGCTTCCCTCTTTCATCACCCGTTTGGCTCCTGAATGAACTTTTAGCCTTCCTAGAATGATTAAACATTAGCAAATGTAATTATTTCATTAATGCTATATTAGTTATAGTCATAGAGCGTATTATATTAGCACATATATAATATAATATAGATATATATTAGTATATATATAGAGAGAGAGTATATTATATTAGTTGTAGTTATGGAGTGCCATGGATATGTTTTGCTAAATATTTATTTGATAAATAGCTTCTTAGATTTTGAATTTTTTTATTCTCATGGAGTCATCATATCATTTGCCTAGTTTAGAAAGCTAATGCAGTTTTTAGTTTATTTTTAGTTTTGATTGCAGATGGCCTTTTACAGACCAGATTTGAGAGCTTATTGTACATGTAGAAAATATAAATAATTTTTTTCTCCCTTCTCTATGGCTTTTTAGTTGCTGTCAATACTATATGATGATACTTTTGGTTTTCCCTTTGTTCTTCTAGGTGAGGTTAGTTTTATCTCTCAATTTTAAATATTTGTCCTTGAAACTTTCCAGAAAGCAATCTTACAGTAAATTAGCTAATAATAAAAAGTGCTAGGGAATGCTATAAAAGAAGCTGCAGCTGTTTCTGAACATTGGAGCCGAATGGTCCTTGGTAGATTACTAAACAGTGTATGAAAGAAAGTGTCAGAGTGAGCAGAAGATGTGAGGGGCAGGAAGTGTGTAGCATCCACCTTGTGCCAAGAGCTATGGAGAATGAGTAACCAAGGTGAGTATAAAGAATACATGCCTGAAACTGCAGTAAAAGATTTGTTTTCTTGATTTTAATAAGGTAGCAAGATTTCTATCAAATCTAACAGATGTCACCATGGAGTAAACTTAATCTTGTTTTGCATTTTGCTTTGAAGGATATTCAGGCATTCAGTAAATGCCACTGTAACTCCAATAATGTGCAAGTCTCTGATACTTTGTGTATTAGCTGTCAGTAGTTGATAATACCTTCATTTTTTATCAGAATGTGGAACAAGCCCTCACCCTCCTTTATTGTGCTTAAATCATTGACAGATGGAACTGCAGGGATAGTATAGTTTGTGTGCCATTTTCAGTATTTTAAAATGTAAGGGAAACCAAGTGTTTACTCATAGTAAGGATTTTCTGGATTTTAAAAACATCTAGATCCTTTGATTTGGGCTGTTTTAAAAACTCATTTGTACCTGCTTCCTGTCATAATAGTTAGCAGCATTGATTGATGGCAGTACGAATGATTTCAAATATGGAGATGAAAACGGTTATTGTCCACTAAAATATATTTGGCAAATGGAGTCTTCTTAAACACATGGTTCATGGTGGAAAAATAAACTACTGTTATGCCCCTGATACATGTGAGGTGGGGGTACTCACTGGTGATACTCACAGGTGGGGAAATTGAATTTTGGAAAGAATGGTTTTTATATCTCTGGTTACTATTTGGCAGTATGCTAGAAATACCACATGACAACAATCTCTGTAAAATGTAAATTTTTAAAAATCTATGCAATTTTCCTACTTAGTTATAACAGTATAAAGGTATATAATGGTATACTTTAACATATATGATTTACTTTTATATTTGTAGAAAGACTTTGTGAATCTGGTGTAAACTGTGATGAAGATTGTATTTTTCATCAGAAAAAATGTAGTTATTTGCACTCTTTAAGATTAGAAACTGCAAAGGACTTTATTTTTGCGTGTACAGTTTCAAGAGATTTTGCTGCATTTTTCTTATTGTCCTCACTTCCTTCTCCTCCTCTAGTTTAGGAAAGAACATGACAATCCGTCCAGTCACCTTTAATGCATGAAGAACTTACTTTATCCTTCTCACAGTTTCAGGCATGGTTGATTGAGTCTCTATTGTACCAGGAACAGACATATGCTTTGCTTCAGTGAATACCTGTTCAGTTCCTAAGCATTTAGAAAATATTGAATGACTTATAATCCCTTCGGAAAGTAGCCATTTCAAAAGCATATTGCATTGAACTTGGAAAATCTGACTTATATTACAATACTCAAAAAGCACTAATTCCCTGAAATGATTTGGGTGCAAAGACACTAGTTTTGGAGAGCCTAGCCATCTTAGGAATCAAGAACTGCACCTGTCCAAATAGGATCTCTAAGCACTCTAACAGAATGGCTACTTTTATGGACTTTAATAGACTTGGGCAGCTCATGGCATCCAAACCTAAACTGAACTCTTACTGTAGGTGAAAGATGTATATTTATCTAGCTTCTCAGCAGCAGCAACTGAAGCAGACAGTACTGGTGGGGAGATAGCGCTGTCTTCAGTTCCTAGGGTTACAGCGGTTTCTTTCCTGCAGCCCAAAGCTGAAATAGGTATATGACCTTCTACTTGGTTCCTCCGGAAAAAGAGCAGCCCTTTAAGAAATACTCATGCTACAGATTATCCAGATGAGGTATTTACTCTTTGCCTGTAAATCATTGCATTGTTTAGAGCCAAGCTGTAAAGAGGAAGAAAAATGAAAGAAAAAAATTTCAGAATTACATAAACAAACTGGAGTCAGTAATTCCCTTAATATCTGTAAGTTGTTACTGAAATTGCTGAAAGAAACCATGCAATGCATGTAGTCTTCATTTGAGTTCTGTGAGATACATTTTTAAAGGGATGAAAGATGAATGTGACTTGATATTACTTTTTATCATTAATTAAGTTTATGGGTACAATTTAGACACACATAATGATCACATTCATCATATAGAATTTGTACCTGTGCATGACATATCTTTATTTATATTTTCCCATTCCCCTTCTCTCCCTTCTACCCTTCTTATTTACCAGAGCTTTGTTTCCATTCTTTCTTTTCTCATTTTTTTCTTTTCCCTTCCTTTCTTTCCCTCTCCCCCTTTCCTTGTGCCCCTTCCCATTTGAAAATTTTCTTCCTGTTTCACAATATCTGTTATACATTTTGGTCCTGATTTACACTTTCAGTTTCTCACCCCAGTGAAGCAATGCAATATTCCTCAGACAAAAGACTGATATCTGGAATAATGAAGAACTGAAAAAAATCAATCCCTCCAAATTTAAAGACCCAATCCAAAAATGGGCATCTAAGATGAATACACACTTCTCAGAGGAAGAAGTACAAACGGCCAATAAATATATGAAAAAATCCTTGACATCACTGGTCCTTTGAGAGATGCAAATTAAAACAACTCTTCCATCGCACTCCAGAAAGAATGGCTGTTATTAAGAAACCAACCAATAACAAATGCTCTTGGGGCTGGGGGTCTTGATATTACGTTTTCATCAGTTATTTAAAAAGGGAACATAAATACCAGATAATAAGCTTAACTTGCATCATCCTTATTTCTTGAATTTAGCTATTCATGTTTCATCTTAATTTTATTAGCACTTAACATATCCCTTCTCTTTTTGGTTAAATAAAAAGGCCTTATTTTAGAATACATGTTCTGTAAAATAACTATGTGTTTGTGAACTTTTCTAAGTGCGTTCATTCCTTCCTTTCTTGCAAATGAAAATACATAAAAAATGAATTAAATTAGAACACCTATACTCATTCTTATTGTGTTGATATACACATGTGCTTAAGAGAGGAAGAAACTTTGTCCTTGTTGTGGACAGTAATGAAAGTGAAATCTTACATGCTTAGTCCTTCTTCCAAAAACATAAAAACAAACAAAAATGTAAAATGTTGGTTGGGAGCTTTAAATAAGTATCATTCTTATCTCTCTTAACTTGCCAGGAAGTATTTCTTCTCAAAGAAATATTCTGCTGTAACAGAAATTTAATGTACCATTTCCTTTTTGAAAATTGAATGCAGGGATTTAATTCTTTGAGGGGTTACACCAGTGGGCTGTGAATGTGTCACATGACACAGGTTGACAGAGTCTAGGAGTCAGTCAGATCTGACTTCATTGAAAGCACTCAGGAAAAATGCTGGGCATAGGTTGGATCCCTCAGAAAGACAGGCGCTGTGGATGAGGGTGACCTCTGACAGCAGTTCATCCTACTATAAACACAACGGCAGGGAAGGCCATTGGTGGGAGCCCAGAATGTTTGCTCTCCAGGGTTTCTCCTAGTTATCATAACTGCCCTGCTGCTGGAGCCGGAAGGTTCCTGCCAGAGCAAGGTGTTTTTAAGGCTACCTGGATGTTGATTAGAGACTATAAACCTCTCAGAACCTTCTGTGATCCTCAAACCAGGCTTCTTTCTACTGACTTTGCAGACTGGAATTTATTGACTGTTGAGCTTCACATACACACACACACAAAACTCACTTCCAGAGACAACTGGAATTCGTTTCAGGTGTTTGGAATTTGAGGTAAGTTGTATGTAGCTTCTGACTGAAGCATTGTCATTATTATTATGCTACTTAGACAGTCATATATTTAAATATATCTGTCTTGGGAGGAAATGTTTTTCTAGTTAAAATAGTTTGGAATTTTTACATTTTTAATATAGAGATGATAAAAGAAATATGTTCGTAAACACTTTACAAGGAAATCAACTAGAGAAACATCTTTAATCTGTCCATACTTAAAGTTTTAAATACATTTTGTCTTTTTACACCATAAAAATTCACCTATTCTAGTTAGATCATGTGAATGATAGAGTAAAAGCAGGTAATGTGATAATTGATAACTACTAGATTACATATCACTACAGAACTTTAACAGGCATCTTTCAGGAGTTTTACCCTAATTTTTGCATACTGCAACCTTTAAAAAACTAATGCCAGCTATTTAAATTAAGGATTTTTTTTTTTTTTTGGCTAACTTGCTTTGAAATGTTATGCTTAGTTTGAGTTTTTCATCAGGTTTGGAATGTTGCCAACTAAATGATAAATATTTCACATAATAAAATGAATGTTTTTCCTCCATTTATGGAACTTCATCTTTTTTCTGGAATAGTAAGACCAAGTTTAATTTTAACTCTTCCAGAAGTAATATTTTCATTGGTTTAATCTTCATTTGAATGACTACTAGAACATATACTTTGAAAGAATACTAGAACATAAACCTTAACATGGAAGCCTTGGAATGCTTTGGTTTAAATCTTTTAAATATGTATTTGGGTTTTTGAGCAACAAAAGGAAAGGCTGTTTGGTTGATGAAAGGTCTGAGATGTGGGTGAATTGTCGCAGTAATGAGAGTATGAAAGATTTGTTTCACTCTAGATAACTGAGGGACAGTTTGCTGTATTTGTAAAATTTTATCCTTCTTGTGAGTTAAAAAACCCCACTACACAGAAGAAGAAAATATCCTCTAAGTATCTATGAAAACTGATTTACTGCCAGAGTTAGAGTGTTTAGGGAACCTGAAGAAGAAAGGGAGGATAAATTATCTCGGCCAGTAAGTTTTCCTGTTTGGTTTCTAGGGTCTACTGAGCATCGGTTAGCACTATCCAGTTTCCTGCTTCTTTTCTTAGTTGCAGTTACTGTTTTTTGAAATACTGTGCAATTAAATGATTGCTGAAAAGCTTTGCTACAATTTATGCAAAATAGATCAAAATGCAGCATGCTACAAGTACATTCTTCTTACTGCATAGAATTTAATTTTGGATTACCTTATTTTTCTTTTTGTTTTCTAACTGAAAGTTTACTAAACTAATAAAATATTACTTATCACAAATGAATAAGAAAAGCAAATACCAAAATCATATAGTACATTGTGTAATAACTTTTTGAGTGGAGGGAGTGGGAGAAAGACCAATCTTTTTATCTGTACTTTGATTTTTCTCCTTCCTCCAAGTTCTTTATATATGACCTCTGTTGAAATTTTCAAAATTGTACAGTCTGACTTCTTGAGCTCAGAGCCACTCTGCAGAAAGGGAGGTGGTTGTGTGTGTGTCCTAGGGCAACCACACATATTACTTTAGGGAAACAGCCCAGGCCAATTTTAAAGGTAATGCAGCTGTTGAAGAAATACAAAAGCCAGATGACTTCAGAAGTGTGCATTGAGGAAATCAGGATAAATTGTCCTTAAATCTAGCTTTCAGAAAGCCATTTTAATTGAGGTCAAAGAGGAAAAAATCGTAAGTCTATCTCAATTATTTATTAGGTTTGCTTAGAATGAGACCTTCACTCCAGATAGACCTGATCTATAATTCCTTTCCTCTTTTAACCCTTGCATTTTCTACCCTGTGGAACCGTTTTACATTTACAGTGCAAACTGCACTTCATTCTTTAGGATAGACAAATATTTAGGACCAGAGAAATTGTGAAGTTAACTGACTACATTCCATTTCCATCTAAGCAGTCGATTTTTGCATTTAAAATTTTTTCCAATAAGCTACTCAGTTTTGACTTGAAATCACAGTTAATGAGGCTATTTCTTCTGGCCACATTATATATGTGAAATATGTGTCACATGGAACTCTTTTTCCTTAAACCCTTAGCTCGCATGTAATTTTAAGTGTTACTTTAATTTGATAGAAAATCTGCTCAAACAAAAAACACATAATTTGCATTTTTTTCTTGTGTTAAATTATGCTATAGTTTGTGTTTTATGAACTCTCACAATGAAGAATTTCATTTTGTTATTAAGACCCATGGAAAAGTGATTTATAGGCTTTTTATAACAATGATTAAACAAGATAGATTCAATATAACATGACTTGACAGTAGACTTTTAAACTCAGAAATGTTGCTGTAGTATTGTGAATACAGATTAAAATGTCATATCCTACAAATACATATTTTTATTATATAGTTTAATTTTACAAATAATTGGATGCCAGCATGTCAGAAGTATTCTTTAAAAACTGATCTTAGTAGATCAAGAATATAATTCATAAAAATTAAAAATATAGCTTCTCTATATATTATATACTTACCAAGGTTTTTTGCCAGAAAGTTACATTTCATATAAATTTATCTAAAAATATATATAGATATGTGCTGTTTAATTTAAAATTACCTTTAAAATTTTGTTTGCATTTTATCAATTTGTTTCTAGGTTGAAATGTTTCTATTTTCTTTAAGAGTTATGATGACTTTATTAGCACCGAAAATTTTATGCTCTTTAGAAATCTCATTTAATATTCACACACACATGCACACACACACAAACCAGAAAGATTTTAACAGAAACTTTTACATGTGAATCCAGCAGTTTTATACTGATAAACCAAACCATACAGTCGACTATTGTTTAAATTTTAAAAATTACTTAGCAGTTATACCTAACAGGCAAATGATGTTAGGTACACTATAACATGTTACACAATGATTAATATTCATGCTTAAAACATATGATATCTAATCTGCCTGTGGCCAGATTCTTTTGAAGTTTTGTGACTAAGATGAGCAGAATTTGTTAAGAGAGAGGGGACTGTGTTGTCTGGGGTCCTGTTGTGCTTGGCAGGTCATGATAAATGAGGAAGTTTTTCTTAACCTTGTGGCCAAAACATTCCAGTGTCTTTAAAACAGGGTATTAAGAAAAAGATGCACAAAATACTGCCTGAAACATTACCAAGGGTTCTCTATTTAAAGGATATGGGTAAATTCTTAAGATTGTTTTTAAAGCATTATTCCTGAGAATTCATAAATCTTCACTTGCATGGAAAGAAATCTAAAACTAGAAATTTTGATACATAAAACTTGGAATTATTGCCTCCTGGTTCAGTGTGAAGATTCACAGTATAGTTAACAGTTTTAGTTTAATTGCCGTGCATTTGACTAAATTAACATTACGCTCATTAAGCAATGGTTTTCAGTTTATAATGGAGTATTTTGTTTTGGTTTTTGTTGCTTGTTTAAAGAATTTTCCAACCTTTTTTTGTAACATACAGGACTACCCAAACAAGCAAACAAAACCCTGCTTGTAAATAAAAAGTTTTATATAAAGGAAATCAAGATAAATGGGGAATATGTTTTTAGGTGTTCATAATGCACATTTGTGAAAAATCCTCTTAAAATTCTTATCTATTATATTTATGCATATAGTTAAGGCTGGGTAATCTTGTCTCATTACCAAACTTAGATGTTTTCACTGGTGCTGTGAAAGCACTTTATAAGGCATCGAATGGTTCCTTTTGTGGCATTTTAAAAAAGAAATTAGCTTTGGCCTGGTGGGAGATAATGAAAAAAATGTAACCATAGAAAGAATTAGAAATATTCCTGAATAATTCATACAGTATATGTGGTGTGTGTGACAGGTGACCAAGGACTATGGCATAGCTAGGGAGAAAATGTGTTTTAGAACTTTAAAGATTAATGTGGTTTGGCATTTGGTTTAAAGCTTATGTACCACGCATAAATAATTATGCTTTGTTTTCCCATGTTATTGTAACTAAGTTGCTTTTTAAACATATTCAACCTTGCCATGAACTCTCAAATAATTTGAAAGCTATTGTGACAGTTGTCATTGATGAAGAGTTATAGACTATAGGATTTTTTCCATTTAAAACATAATTTCTCCCCAGTGTGTGATTTTTGTCTAACCTCCCTCCCCCAAATCAGCATCCCGGGAGGCCCCGTACTGAGGGCCAGAAATCAAGTAAGATCTTGCCCTTGACAGCCCAATACACCAGGGATAAAACAATTTCCACTTTGGGTTATTGGTGGTGCATTTTTATTTATTAACCTTCTAACACTACCATTCTTAATCTTTATGTTTATTTTGTCTACTGTTGCCAATTTCAAACAGAATACTCAGTTGTATCTTTGTTATACAGCAGGTAAAGAACAGTGACAGCAGTTTTACTTTAAATGGAAGACATGAAGACCTCGGGTTGTGGGCTAGAATTCTTTAATAGGTGGTAGTTTGAAGACTGGCACTTGGTGGTAAGGAAATGATACCTAGGGAGGCTAGGGAGAAGCCTAGGTAAGAAATGATAAAGAAAATGAAAAAGAATTTACCCAGAAAAGAGAGGAAACTTTCTCAGCTCCATAAAAAGGATTTCAGAGATATATACATTTTTGAGCTGTAAGATTTTTTAAAAGGAGACAGTTAATAAAAATACTTTTATATAAGCTAATAATGAGATTATCACAAGTTCTATTTCTAAGACTTTGTTTTGACTATCATTTGACAAAAAGGCATTTTATTTTCTTTGAAAAACCTGTCAAGTTTGGATGGACATAGTAGAACATAAACACATTTTTAAAAATTCATTGTGACAACTTTTGTGTTCTAAAGGTTTTTTAAAAATGTTTTGAGTTTTTAAAGTCAAAGAAATGAATTATAGCATTTACAAAAAATGTCAAATAACTCCTATTGAGAAATACTGAGAGATTTTAGTTCCTACCAGTAGAGACTGTGTATCTCTGAGTTTGTATCTGTGTGGGTTGGCATTTCTGAAACTCCATGATGATCTTCT